ATGTCTCATGTACTTGAATAGCACGTTTTTGTTTTTTCGAACGAGGTCCAGGATAGTGGATTGTTTTTATATGTTCCATTAGCGGATTTCCGATTTACAGCGGTTTCGCATTTTACAAAAGGCCAGCTCATCTTCTGTACACCCTGTAGTCAACTTTTTGAAAAAGAGTTGGGATCTTTTTTGCAGAAGTCGTTGATTGTTGGAAGATTGTTTGACCCTCGATATCGGGTTGATCAACTGTCTTAAAGAGGGACGGGATGTACGAGAACGATCAGGATTCCCGCAAAGTTGTATTCATGGGGTATTCACTAAATAGGAAATGTTTAGGTACATTACAGTGGGATCGTGGGATTGATCGAGACGCCAGGCCACCTTGTGAAGCTCGTTGGTTGGGTCCTATTCAGATGTGTGGAAATGACTGCGACGATGCTATTTGGTAGTATTGAGGAAAAGGCACCTCTTCAACTCGAAGAGTTGGAACGTCAGTGAGGTCGTGACAAAAGACTTCACTCTCATCTTAGTCATCGGACACGCCTAGTTAGCTAGATCTGGACGGGGCAGCTCCGTGTCATGGGTGTCCGTCATAAGACAACTTCTGTTATAGCTATGAGATTCCACGGGGTTTTCCGGTGACAACAGTGAAGCTCAGCATGCTTGCCGTAGAGGTTTTCAGCATGTGCAGCAGCAGCTTATGGTGCGGACATTCATTGGGACTGGGCACCTTGGATATGGGGATTGGCATGACCATTAAAGCTCAGGCCAGCAGACGTTAGAAATTTTCTTGAGTCCAGCGTAGTCATCGATCAATCGGGGCACAGGATAACAGAACAAATGGTGGAACCGCACGACCTAACGGTTAACCGTGATCAAAGGTTAGCTACTTGTAGTGAACATTGATTCTATTCTATTCATTCTGTTTGGTGTATTTTTCTATGCCTTTGTTTTACGATGCTATATATAGTGCGCCCGCGATATACGAGAATATACGATATTCATTCGTCCATATTCGGACTTCTATACTACGCGTACATTCGGTAGTTAAGATACCTACCAATTATCACACACTGCTAGCAACGCATATATTAACACACCTGCAACACTACTCAACGCACAACCGCCGACCATTCACTACGTTCTCTAACAAAGCACTGATAATGTCACCCCCGTTTGTGATGAAAAGTTGACACTCATATGCTCCAGCAAATCTGACAAACCAGCGAATAACTGAACGCACTGTTATGTTATTCAGTCCCAAGAACTTTGTGGAGGAAGAATTTTAGTCACCGTGAATCACGCGCAAATTGTGGCATGTTTTCCTGCGTCATCACATCTAAACACAAAACAAAGGACCAAAGGAGTTGCGAGCTCCCTACGTGTGATAGGGTTAGTCGTGTTGATTTTGTTTGGGTAAGAAATTTGGATACAACGTTGGAAAATATGCAAACCCTGCAGTCTAAGTTTTTAGACGGTGACTGTAAAGTTTTGGAGGTTACTGTAGTTAATTTTGTGATGAAATGAGACTCGTTCTAAGGCTGGATATTGGATTTTACGCGACGTGTCATGACGTGTCAATGGTCTAGGCCGTCACAATATACAATAAACTAACCTCACTGCAGTGTTGAACCATGTGCAACTAAAGACTGTTACATAGAGGCATCAAAAAACGTCGAACAGAACCAGAGTTTCTGCGCATTTTTGGAGTGTTGGTGAAATCCTCGTATTAAAGTTGGATTAGGTACCGCAACCATACACCACATCGGTTCCAAGTTGACTGCCATCTTGTTGAAAATCTCCGTTCGGATTCGAGCTGCCCGGTGGACATGGGTTGAGTACTGGGTCGTAATTTGAACGCTGCAGGCAAAGTTGGCGGTCGAATGTTAAATTCCCCCCACGAAAAAGCAACGCAAAATCGAAATTTATTCTGGTACTTCTTGATTCTGCGGATTCAAGTATGAGGGACAGATCTGACCTAGATCACCTGATTATAATCTTATAATCTGCTTATATTCATAGATTAATCCAAACATGGGTATGAGTAGTAAGTGCATTTCCCACTTCCAGTCCAAAGGCCAACAGCAGACATATACCCCCATAGAGGGGTGAGCTTTGGCGACTACGGATGCCTGGGATACTCTTAATAATGGCCACGAAAAGTTTCCAACCAACGAGCAGTCGAAAGATGGCTGTTCGAAAGAATGGAACAACAACTCGTTTGAATAAACCTCTTATGGACTAATCAGAGAAATGAAGCGACCGTTCAAAATATGGATCAATCAGTAAACTTTACGTGCTTCTCAGGCTTTGTGGGGTTCCTTGCTATTTAGGGAATGTGTAGCTTCTCGATTATCCACGGTTTGCGTCCAGCATGACTGTTTGCGTTGATATCTGGTTTCGGCAATGACGAAAAGGTGGCGGTGCCCACATGAATCTTGGAAAGGTAATAAAACTGGGGTGTCAAATAATATGACATAAAATGGAGTGGTTTTTAATCTTGAAAACCCTTGCACCATATTCGTTTGTGGTCCATAAATATACTTTTGTACCTTCGTTTTTGCTTTTTAATGACAGACTAGGGATAAGTAGCGGATTATTGAGGACTGCAGCGCCCTCTAAACAAAGAAGGAATTGCAGGTTACTCTACAATGCTTTACGTTAATTGAGTGATTGGTTTACGATTGAACAGTGGATTGGATGTGCTTCCTCGAAGTAGTTTTGGAGTTTCGGGTTGACTGGTTCGTGTCATGCAACCAATTTGCGCCTGAGGTTAACAGCGTGTTTAGTGGTTGTCCTCAGCTACTGAGGCGTTCCCTGTTCATATTGACAGGGCAAGCGGATGAGCTTACGTTCCAGAGGACCTCTAAATACGACAGAAGTAGCGGGATGAAAAGGCTTATGCACCGATGAAGCGGATTTCCTGGGTGAGGATGGGGTCGACTCTCAGTCTGATACATCCTACCTGAGGAAATTTATCACTTCCAGTCGCCATTTATAAGTTTTGATGCATACGTTTATGTTTTCGCTAATTTTGCGCAGTGCGAAGGATTCCTTGAAAACAAACCGTCTCGCTCGAACGGGTACTCAAAAATGGCCAAATAGGTCTAGCACACCTCTGCTGAATCCACCTGATTTTGAATTTTAATAGGTTTCAGTTTGTGGATGCCGGTTTCGTCATCCGCATTTTACTATCGGTTGGGTTTGGGTGACCGAGAATGTAACCTTGTTTTCGTCCGTCCATGAACCATAGAGCTCGTTGTGACTGCCACTGTGGTTTCTAACTTGACCTGGTATGTATTTTCAAGTCGAACTTTATCTTGGTTGCAGTGATCTATTTTTTTAAGTTGTTGAATGCAAATCTTAACTTTTCCCGAGCACAGTAGTCTTAGATTGTCCGTATATGTTTATAATGGGGTCTGGGTTCGTATGAGATAGCCAGTACAGATGTCAAATCGTTTGAGTCCGAGTACCTAGTCTTGTACTTCATGGTTTGTAGCGGCGCGAATTGGTCTCTACAGGATTAACTAGAAAAATTGTCTACCAAGTGGGTTTTGAAATATTTCAGCGTAGTTTCTTTGATCTTTGGCACCGTCAGATCTATACTGCGGTTTATTTATTGAATGCCTTTTAGATTTCTTAGAAAAATTAGTCTCTGTTTCAATATGGTGAGTGGCTTTCTTATTCTGCGTACTTTCTTAGAAAAATAGTCTGTGTTTCAATATGGTGAGTGGCTTTCTTATTCTGCGTACCAGTTGCCACTCAAACTTGGCACCATTTTGTGTCGTGTCTGAGGGCACAATTGTGCTCCTCCTATGTCTTACTTATGTGAACAATCAGACGCTCCCAGTTTGTCAGTAGTGGTCCAGTTCGTTTAAGTAAGCACGGAAATTTAAAACTCCTTATCTGTAGCTCAACGGTCGGTTCCGTTTTCCTGC